ATTCCTTTCGACACGCGTCATTCTTTTGCTTCACGTGGTGCCTTAGAACTGTGAGGCGCGCTTCTGCCTCCACGTGTCCAGGAGCGAATTCTAGCCATTCTTTATCTTTTTATTTCAAAATTCATGTTACAGAATGTTTAAATGTTCATTTAAACTCCATATTATGTCAACACACGCTTAAGTTAATACATATATTAGCATTTAACAGGGCTTTCAGACTAGCAACAGGGTTGACAGTTTAGTTAATCTATACATTACTATGGAAGCCAAAATAAATAAAATAATAATAATAATTAAATAAGGTAATGGCAACTTTTTATCTCACAATTCAGACCTTTTTCTCGCAAATCTGAGTTTATAGCTGACAATTAGACTTTTTCTTGCAATTGCGAGATGTAAAGTCAAAAATGTGTGAAGGTCTGAATTCTGAGTTTATATGTCGCAATTCATTTTTTTCTGATTTGCGAAAACATCTGAATTGTGAGATATAAACTCAGAATTGCAGGGGAAAAAGTTTTCACAATTACCTTTTTATTTTTTTTTATACTGTGACAGAAACAGGCTTCCATACATTACTGCTCAAAGTCAGAAAGATATTTATTAGTATAAATAATAAGTTTGCAATGATGAAAAATAAGGTTTTATTTCAGTCCAGTCTCTGTTTGTGTGCTTACATCAGAAAAAAATGTACACTTAAACATTTTTGTAAAATACTTTAATACTTTATTTTAAATAGTTATGTACATAAAGGAATATCGAGGTGTTGTAGCTCAGGTCAAAAAAAGTCATCTAAAATGCTTGGTGTAATGTAATACCATTTGGTATTATATTTTACAAGAAAACATACAGTGCATAATAACACCAAAATAACAATACTTATAACAAAGTCAATAAATCAGGCAGTTTTTTTTTTTTTCCCGACAGCAGCATACATATTAAAATACTAATACTTAATCTCTGTTTGGGCTGTTCAAGGGTGACCAATGTGTATAAACACATATTACAAAACATTATGACTGATTATTGAGCACTGCCTGAGCCCTCAGGGCTGGTACTCAAACAGCACGGCCTACACTGTTCAATAAGAGGCAGAAGTTTCCCTTGCTAGTGGAGCTGTTTTGTACCTGTGCCTCCTCCAACGCACTGCCCATTAATAAAGACTCTTGGCACCTGAAAGAGTTGAAAGGATTAAGGTCAACAACGCTATCTTGACAAGAACAATATATCTAATTTCGAGCATAATTCTAATCAGCATCCAGGACTGGAACTGTTTTATACTGTCTGAGTAGGTACTACATTTGAATTTACTTCATCACGACCGTTAAAAAATATGTTCTATATAGTATGAATGAAATCCGGATGTTGCTACTGTCACATGACCCACCAGTGTCTGTTGCATCGCTTCACTTCCATTCATAAATTCTGTACCCCATGGCCTCATGGGATAGTAAAGTGTCCATTGTATGCGACTTCAGAATCTGGGCGGAAGAAGTAGGTCATCCGGGTACTTTTCGCCCACTGTTTTTCGAATACTATGAATTTGGGCATACTCCTCGCCTCACATGTTTTTTATATACTATATAGTAGGGAAGTATGCAATTTCGGACGCAGCGAAACACTTCTCATTACAAGTAGCATTTACTGTGAACTGACCTACTCTGAGACACTGAAAACACTGGATCATGACCTGTTAGTCTATAAAAGAACACACTCCGACACAAAAAGCGCACTAAACAATATAGTGATTCTTTATTATATTTATTTTATAGTTGTTGTTTTTTTCGATCAATAGCGCAGCCCTAATGTATATGTACACTTAAAAATGTTGGTAACCAAACAGTTTTAGTTCCCTTCAACCTCCATTGTATTTTTAGTCCATGCAATTGAAATCAATGGGACCCACAACTGTTTGGTTACCGACATTTTTCAAAATACTTCTTTCAGGAACAACATAGGGGTGAGTGTTGATGACAAAATTTTCATTTTTGGGTGGACTATCCCTTTAAGTTGTTATTAACATGAGTGAATAGTTCTTTTGAGTCAGACCATAGCCTACAGTTCAGAATATATATTTAAAAAACGGTTTTAAATTATTCATTCACGAATCTTATACCGATCTGGGCTGAGTGGAATTTTTGTTTAAAAAAAAAAACAAAGACAGACTTTCATCTTCGGCTCACTATGAACCAAAACAAACCAGCTTACCTGGACAAACTGAGTACATGCTGAGCCTGACAACCCAGGCGCTGACGACGTGAAATTCCCCATTCTAGATAAACGACATAAATATAAGTTCAAACTCAAAACTACTATTTACTCAACACCAGACTTAGATTTACACACAAGATGACCTTGTTATAATCACCGGTCTGTAAAAAAGACATGTTGAAGATACAAGAAAAGCAAATGCAGTTAGTGCAGATACAAGAGAATTAGACTGGCAATTTAAATCAGTCATATTCGGACTGTTATTGTCCCGTTCCCGGCTGAATCAGGTAAGGATCTCACAGCCAGACTGTAATCTGATCAGATCACACAGGGAGGATTTAAACATTTAATGACCCTACAAAAACAGCATAAGCCTTTGCCTCCTAAAGTAGGTTACAGTCCAGAACGGAACAAACACAACAGCGGTGTTGATTTCACCTACTGTTTATTTTAATGTAAACACGATTATGTTAAATTATATAATCTAATATTAATTATCCTCATAATGACCTTAGAGTCTGATAAGCCTGTTTGGATTCGTAGAAACAGCCTCTCGTAAACATTGTGAATGTGGAGTGTGAACAACGACAAGCGACATTTTTATTGTATTAATTCAGAGGACTGGCACTTGATTACATTAATAAGAAATACCAGTTTGCAGTATCAACCAGCATAACGAGCTGTTTTGTACAGAGCCACCCACATTCAAATGACCGCACCCAATCTTACGTTAAAATGAAGGGGTATAGAGTTATTAGTTAACTTAGTTAGCAATTTTAATGTGTAGGCTACATCATCTTGTCATTTTGCATCCATAGAGTGGCACTATGCCATTCTGTAAAATGCATTACACAGAACCAACACAGGAATTTTTTTTTCTTGGGGATCTCAGTTATCAATTTTTTTTGGGTCCCCCATTTTATGACAAGTGATTTAATGCTGCTCCCTATCTCTGTTTTTCACAAAAGCTGCCATATTGCCGTTTGTAAGAAAAAAAGGCAATTGATTTTTCTACCCATTAATCCTTATGAATTAACCAAAGAGAATTAAGGCTGTTCTTGTCACTTTTTAAAACAACATCAGTTATCCATCTTATGGTTATTTTGTCAACAATACTTTACATGTTCTGAAAACCCCAAAGATGAGGAATTCAATATTAAAGCACAAAACTGACCCTAAAATTGTTCTATAGCCCGAGGTTGCAGCTTTCTCTCTTTCAGCAGAGTTGAAACAAAAAGAAACTTTGAATTATTGATTGCTTACATATTTTAACGTTTAATGGCCCGAACTCCATACTCATTAACATTGTTAAAAGAAGATGAGCAGCGTGTCTTCACTTATAGTGAAGTGGCCTAATACTTAAGGATGCACTTAAGCAAAAGTTTAGTTTTAACTGTCCTTATAGGATCTCTGTTGTAATTCACTGTAATTTCAAACCAGGATTTTTTGTTAAAAGGGTTCAGTTCCTATGAAAGACCCATGTGTGTATATAATGAGAGAATGAGAGTCCAAACAGCTGATTAAAGCATCACAATAGTCCACAAGTAATCCACACCACTCCAGTCCATCAGTTAACATCTTGTGAAGTGAAAAGCTGCATGTTTGTAATAAACAAATCCATCATTAAGAAGTTTTAACCGTCGTTTCTGACCAAAATATGGGTTCAAAATCCATAATAACGCTTTCTCCATTGAAAAAGTCCATCCACTGTTGTCCTCTCACATTAAAATCCACCCACATATTTGTTTAGGACTATTTCGGACTGTTTTCGCTTGTAAATAGAGCTTGATCTGTGCATATTTCTCTCCTGATTCAGACGAGATGACTTTTTCACTGGAGAAAGCAATATTATGGATAAAGTACTCGTATTTTAGCTGAAAACAGTGGTTTGAAGTTACAAACGACTTACTGATGAATTTGTTAATTATAAACACACAGCTTTTCACTTCAGATGTTAATTGATGGACTGGAGTGGTGTGGATTACTTGTGGATTATTGTGATGTTTTTATCAACTGTTTGGACTCTCATTCTGACAGCAACCATTCACTCTGACGGCACCCATTGGACTCTCATTGTGACGGCACCCATTCACTCTGACGGCACCCATTGGACTCTCATTCTGATGCCACCCATTCACTCTGACGGCACCCATTGGACTCTCATTCTGATGGCACCCATTCACTCTGATGGCACCCATTGGACTCTCATTCTGACGGCACCCATTCACTCTGACGGCACCCATTGGACTCTCATTCTGACGGCACCCATTCACTCTGATGGGATAAGCAAGAGATATATTGCTACATTTCTCCAAATCTACTCTCATTCTGACGGCACCCATTCACCCATACTTTTCCATAATGATAAATATTAATGATGACAAAATGAAGTCAAAAATGAAAGTTACAAAGACGTCTGGAATGTTAATAGACCTGTGGGGCCAAATAAGACAAAAAAGCCCGGGAACCACTGCTTTAGACCATGATCATTAATTATTAGTTATCTTCGTATGAACACAAAAATCCATAGGCCTTTATAGTGCAAAAGCACACACTCTCTTCTGCGCCACAGAGCCCCTTTAAGTTTTTTTTCCCATTTGCCCTTTTCCCATCTAGCAGTTATCAAGGGTCTGTGTGTAACCCACACGTCACAGTAATGGCGAAATCCTTCTTAGTATTTACAGTCTCATGACAAGTAATGACCGCCATACATGAACCATCGGCGAACTCATCAAAACCACTGGAAACGCAATTCCCCACCCAGATCGAGCAGCAGACACCCCTCGCCCTCGCTCCCTTCAGTGCGGTGTCATCAGAATATGCCCCGCTGATTTAATATCTGTTTGCTGCATGCATTTGCGGGTAGCCATGTAATCAAGCAAGAAGCCACTGCTGCGGCTGCCCTCATAAATCACCGTCCCTGGCGGACAATCATGCCTGGCTTTATGGAGGCAGGCACTAGTGAAGCCACTGATTACACTCACTGCCTTATTAAAACCCTTCCCGCCGATGGAAAGGTGCGCGTCTTTATTTATCGGCCTGGTGTCATTTGCAGACGCTCCGTCTTTTGCTCTTAAATGATTTGGCACAGTAATGGAATGACGCCTCAATTGAGTTCACAGGAGAGGGTGCAGTTCCAATAATCTCTCGAGTATCGCCTCACTGTTCCTCCCTCCTGTCAAAGCCAACTAACGTCTCCTCCTGAAGAAGGTACAACAGACTCGTCTTGGCAATAAGCTGTGGCATTTTGTTAGAGAAGGTTACTGCACTTTGTCACATAAGCGCTTGTCTCAAAGGCCGCATTTTGCACTTTCAGGTGGGCTTTAGACTTTACACTAGACAGAAGCCAGGGTCGCAACTGATGGGGTGAAAGAGGCAACATCTTTGAAAGATGAAAGGTGCAATTCTGGGCGTAGAATGAACAATTGAATCCATTAATTTTTAAGATATTAGTCATTTCAATGCCTTTCCACGCCTTCGAATCCCAGTTTTAAAATTCAAAAAAGCAACAATTTTAGTACGATCCAGTATTAATTCAGTGTATTTTGTGAAGCGTTATAAAGCGTTCTTGTATACATTTCCATAACTTTTGTACGCCCTTTCTAGTAATTTATACCGTTGTTCTAGGATTATTAAAATGTATTTTAATATAGATTATATCAATTACACTTGAATTTTTTACTCACAAAAAGTATAGCCAATAGCTGTAAAATTTTTGCTCTGCTCTGAAATACATCTTTTCCATGACTTTTTTCCAGACCTTAAAATCTGAAAAAAGCGAAAAATTCCAATGAGATCCAGTAATAATTCAATTAATTTTGTGACACAATTAAAAAAATAAATAAATTCACAAGTTGTGTGATGCAAGTTGTACAGTGGACTTTCACATGGCCTTTATAGTCATTTATGCTGTATTTCTAGGATTTTTAACATTTATTTTTTATATAGTTTGACACACATTTCCATTTGGATGTCAGTTAGTTGTTAAAATCCTATATATATATATATATATATATATATATTTAAAAAAAACTCCAGTAGGATCCAGTATTAATTCAAGTATTCTGTGACAATAAATAATAATAATAAATATTATTAAAAATAATAAATCTACAAAATTCACTCTTCGTGATTTTAATTTTGATATTGATGTTAGCTATGAATCCATGGAACAATTACACTTGAATACTGTTTTTTGTTTTTTTACTCGCAAAAATAAGCATAATTAAGTACTTTTAGCACTTAGCAAAAAATGACTTTTTGATGAATTTGTATAATATTACTCATTAACATGCCTTCTCCAGGGCATAAAAACTCATTTTATAAATAAATAAATAAATCTGGGTGCCCACGACAATTTCAGTAGGACCCTGTAATGCAATGTATTTTATGATGATGATAATAATAATAATGAAGAGTGTTCACAATTTCCCATGACTTTTCCATTTGTATGTCAGCTATGAATCCTTGAAATTTCATTTTATTACACTTGACATTTTTAAATCACACAAAAAACTACTATTCAGGAAACGGTTTTAGAACAGAATGAAAATGCAAGTTGTCCATGACATTTGACTAATTTCCATGACTTTTGACTTACCAGATTTGACAAGTTTTCAATAATCTGTACTATTACTATCAGTAATCACACCATTAAAGAACATAAATAGGCCATAATAAAAATGTATATCCAAATATCTCACACTAAATCAAGCCATGTTAACAATAACAAGCAAGTATAGTTACTGCACAGGTCAGGGGGAAGAGCTGGGTTAGCCAATTCTCACTATTCTCATTACTAAGTTGTATTGCTTTAAAGCACAAACACAAAATGCTTTCTAAAATACCAAATTATAACAGTACACCTCACCAACAGCTCATCTGCAAATAAAACAGTGGAACCTAGCATTTGATTTATTTGCTTCTACCACATGAACACATCAGGAAGTGTAATTCAGCTAAAATAAAGTTCAGAAATGATTTGAGCCATAAATGAGATCAAATGTAAGAGAACAGAAACGGAAGATAAAACGACACCAAAGAACAGTAAAGGAACATGAATTAGAGAAAATAATTTAAAAAACAGACATAGAAATGAAGACTTTAAGGAAAGAAGATAACTGTGATAAAATAAAATTTAAATTTAGCTGATATCATGATAGCAGTATTTAAATTGAAAAAGATAGCAATATAGAGAGAATGGCCCTCAGATTGTGTTTTAATAGTACTGTATGATGGGGGCTTCTCCTCTGTATTCAGGAGGGATGGTTTGCCCTTGGTGGCATTTGTTGAAAGTGCACACACTAGTGATCCCGGTTGTTCAAGGTCTCAGAAGGGATTTCACAACTTCTTGAGCGCAGTAATCCACTGGTGTCCATTCAAGACGGCAAATGAAATACACCCCAAAGAGGGACTGGGGGAAATAGAGACCTCCACCTGAGTGTAGCGTTCTATAATTGGACAGTTCCAGGTGTGAAAAAGTGTGAATCATATTTTGATTGGGAGGAAAAAGCAATATGTCACGGAGGCTTCACTGCTTTTCAAAGGTACAAGGCTGGTTCTGCTGTGTATCAAGAGTTCCACATGGACAAAAA